GGGCTGGGGATATAGCTCAGTGGCATAAATGCCTGCTTGCCAAGCGCAAGGTCCTGAGTTCGATTCCCAGTACAAAAAAAAAAAAAAAAAAGCAAAAACAAAAACAAACCAACACTGTTGGCCCTATCATATGCAGAGGCCACCCTGGCCCTACCACTTGGTAGATGGCATTAGCGCAAGAACACTCACAAGAGGAGAGGAGCGGCCAGGCTTGTTCAATTGTAACAACCCTCTCTAGAGGACTAACCAGGGTCCCCCCAAAACTACATCAATTCTTTCCAAGGGTAGTGTCCAACGACTCTTTCCTAAAGCCCAACCTCTAGAAGGTTCCATACCTCCTCTCAGGTATCACCACACTGGAGACATGAACCCCTGGGGCACACATTCAACTCATACCCATAGGACATACACAAACAGAATAACATGTAGATGAGTATCCATAGCAACATCATCGTAATAACCAAAATAGGGGAACAGCCCTAACGTCCATCAGCTGATGAATGGGTACTACATGTGGTGTGGTAACACAACAGAATATTACTACGTGGAAATAAAAAGGAATAAAGTACAGATTCATGCTATAATAGGAATAAAACTTTAAAATGTCATGCTAAGTGAAAAAAGTCCATCAAAAAGACCCCATATTGTGTGATCCTATTTATATGCTATGTTCAGAATAGGCAAATCTATAGAGACAGAAAATATGTTAGTAGTTGCCTAGGGCTTGGAGAATTTGGGTGGTAGTGGAGTGATTTTAGAGTAACAGCTAGGGGGCTAGGAATTTAGCTCAGCGGCACAGCGCCTGCCTCGCAGGCGCGAGGTCATGAGTTCGATTCCTGGTACCGGAAAAAAATCAAAAAACAAAGAAGGCACTTGTCTAGAGTAACAGCTAGGTGGTACAGAGAATTTCTTTGAGGGTAGGGAAATTTTCTAATATGGATTGTGATGATGACTGTACAAACCTATGGATAGAAAAAAAGCCATTGATTTATTCATTTTTCAGTGGGCGATTGCTATGGTATATAAACTATATCTCAATAAAACTTTGTTTTTGGAGAGTTTTCTTTGGTCTTTTTGAGACAGGGTTTTGCTATGCAGTTTATTTATTTATTTTTTTGTTTGTTTGTTTGTTTGCTTTTTCTCCGGTACCGGGAACCGAACTCACGACCTTGCGCTTGCCAGGCAGGCGCTTTGCCGCTGAGCTAAATCCCCAGCCCCTGCTATGCAGTTTAAACTGGCCTGGAACTCACTATGTAGCTCAGTCTTGCCTCGAACTCACAGCAGTCCTCCTGCCTCAGCAGCCCGAGTGCTGGGATTACAAGCATGTGCCACCACACCCAGCTTCAATTAAACTGTTAAAGATTTACTCTACATCTAAATATCCGTCAACTGATGAATGGATAAACAAAAGGTGGCATATTCACATAACAGAATATTACTTAGCAATTAAAAGGAACAAAATACTGATATATCCAACAACTTGAATGAACCTCGGAAACATTGTTAAGTGACAAAAGCTAGACACAAAAGAACACATATTGCATGATTCCACTGTACGAAATATCCACAAAAAGGCAAACCCATAGAGGCAAAGAACAGATCAGTGGTTGCCTGGAGCCAGGGGTAGCAACAGGGAACAATTATAAATGGTACAAGAGGTCTTTGGGGGATGAAGGAAATGTGGTAATGGTTTCATAAATATGTAAGTTTACTAAAAAAAAAAAATCACTGAACTAAAACAGATGATTTTTATGTATCTAAAACAGATGATTTTTATGGTATGGAAAGTGTACCTCAATAGTTGTTTATTTTTTTAAAAAGGACAATCTAAAAAAGTTTCAAAGAGGCAATTAGGCCAGTTTTTTATTAAATGGACTAAACACTTGAAAAGGCTATTTATTTCTGAGGAACTAGGTATTGAACCCAGGTTCTTTACACTGAGCTACATCCCTAGTCCTTTCTTTTAATTTTTCGATAGGGTCTTGTTATATTGTTAAATTGTCCAGGTTGAGCTCAGACTTGCAGTTTTTCTGCCTCAGCCTCCCAGGGTGCTGCTATCATAGGCATGTGTCACTGCACCTGACTTGAATAGGCAATTTGTGGAGAAGACAATATGACAAACAAATAAATAACAAAAAAAAAAACAATAAAATGTTCAATCTTATTTTTTTTTTGAACCAAGAATCAAACTCAGGGCCTTGCGCTTGCCAGACAGGCGCTTTGCCACTGAGCTATATCCCCGGCCCCTAAAATGTTCAAATTTACCAAAAATGCAAAATACTTATTAAAGCCAAAATGTGCTGGATGTGGTGGCACACATCTGTAATCCCAGTTCTTTGAGAGGCCAAGGCAGGTGGACTGCAAGTTTGAACCCAACCTGCACAACTTAGCAATTCAGCCAGACACTGTCTAAAAATACAAACAGAGGTGGGGATGCAGCTCAGAGTAAAGGCCCTGGGTTCAATCCCCAATACCACAAAAACCAACAAACAAAAACAAAACCCCACAATGTACTCAGAAGATTCCCCAGAAACAAATCTATGACTAGAAGAACAAAGAAGTAGTGGTATAGTCATACAATGGAACAACACCTAGCGATAAAAATTGATGAATCAATTATGTATGCTACAATGTCACTTAAAGTTTAAAATCATGCTCAACAATATTACAAAGAGCTTAAAAATAACAAATATGACCTGGGCATAGTGGTGCATGCCTGTAAGTAATCCTAGCTCTTAGGAGACTGAGGCAGAAGGATCACGAATTTGAGGGTAGCCTAAAACTAATAATGAGAACTTGTCTCAAAAGAAACAAAAACAAGCAAACAAAAAGAAATAACAAATGTAATCAGGATCATGGTTCCCTTAGGGTGTGTGGCGGAAGCGGGTAAGAGAGACAGCATCAAGGATGTAGGTAGAGGATTTCAACTGAATTGGTAATGTTTAATTTCTTTCTTTTTGGTACTAGGGCTTGAACCCAAGGCCTTTTCCCTGAGCTACATCCCTAAGCTTTCATTTTTCATTTTTATTTTGAGCCAGGGTCTCACTAAGTTGCTTTGCTGTCCAGGTTAGACTCACACTTATATTCCTCCTGCCTCAGCCTCCCAGCATGCTGGGATTACAGGTATGTAAGATTTTATATTTGAGCTATTTCATAAAAAAGCTAAATTTTAAAACTTTCTTATAAATTTTTAAATCCTCAGACTTAATTTGCTGCCACAGAAGTGAGCAACATAAACAGGGCATAGTGCCACACACCTGTAATCTCAGCACTCAGAAGGCTGAGGCAGAAGGATTGCCGTGAGTTCAAGGCCAGCTTCAACTACATAGATTTTTGTCTCAAAAAAACCCCATACTCCTTAGCAGCCATTTCCAATTCACCACCCTCACCTCTAGTCTCTGCAACCACTAATCTACTTTATTTTTATATCAACTGCCTACACAGACATTTCCTACAAATGTAATCATACAGTATGAGGCCTTTTGTATTTGGCTCCTTTTATTTCAAAATTTTTAATGTTTATCTATAATATGGCATGTACTCATACTATATTTCTTGTTATGGCTGAAAAATATTCTATTGTATGCATATAGCACAGTTGTTTATCCATTTATCAGTTAATAGACACATGGGTTTTCACCTTTTAGCTCTTATGAATGAATACTCACATACAGTTTTTTGTGTGAATGTACTTTCATGTTCCCTGGGTAAATACCTAGGAATAGAATTGCTGGGTCATGTGCTAACTCTATATTTAGCTTTCTGGAACTGCCAAATTATTTTTTGAAGCAGATGTACATTTTTATGTGGAATAAAATTTTGAACGTTATAAAATTCTCAATTGTAAAATACTATTATAAATTTACAGAAATAAACAGTAAAGAATATTAACCCCATTTCATCTGGTCCTAAGACAACAAATTTTATTTTTGTCTAAAACTATGTATCCCATATAGATTTATAAGACTGCAATCATAAAGAACCTACAATTTATATATGTTTTATTTTTCTTATATATTTAAATAATCATTTGCAGGATGCATTTATGCAAAATTACTTCTTTATGATGGTCATTGCTACTGAAGAATTGGATTTGGTATTATAATTCACTTTTGGGAAACCTATAGTGCTAAAAATTTCCTTTGTTGATTTTCCCAGAAGATGCACTTTCAGTACTAGTGTGTGCCAGTTAGAGAATCTAAACTGGTTTTTTTTTGGTTGTTGTTTTGTTTGTTTGTGTTTTGAGACAGAGTCTCATTATGTAGTACAGGCTGGCCTCAAACTCACAGTGATTCTCCTGCCTCAGCCTCCCAAGTGCTGGGACTGCATCACCAAGTCCGGCTTCCAAACTGTTTTTAATATTCAGAATATGTGATGAAATTAATAGCAGGTTCAAATCATATCAGTTTTTTTCACTGAAAAAAAGGTCAGTTTTGTTTCCAAAGTGAAGATTTTGGCAGCTTAGACTTTAAGATTAATCATTCCAATTCTTTTTTTTTATTAGTACATGTTTCTAGTATATAATGCTTATATTCATCTTAGGAAGTAGGAATATGTATTTTAACATTCCTTAATTCTTTTTATTCCCCTTCCATTCCCCTTTTCAGTTCTTGAAGTATTTGTTAAAAGGCAAAATTATTTTAAGGGCTTAGGGTGTACAGCACCCCAGTGGGCAGAGCAGTTGTCTGCTTGGCTTTGGGGGCAGGAGGAGTACTGTGGATTGAATGCAGAGTCATCACACTGAGCTACAGCCCGGGACCTTTTTATCTTTTTTCAAGAGTCTTGCTACATTGCCCACACTGTGCTTGAACTTGAGATCCTCCTGCCTCAGCCTCCCAGTGTGTTGGGATCAGAGGTGTACACCACCATGCTTGGCTCCCATATGGCATTTCTGATGCCTTGGGTTCAATCCTCAGCATCACAAAAAATTAATTAATTAATTATAAAGAATCTTAAAAGACAAATATTATCTTAAAATATTAGTAACTTCAATTACTAACCTTATAGACATCTTCAATACATCTACTAAGTTCTTCTTCTGTCACCAAAATGGTCCCTGGTACCATGTTGCTTTCTGGAATCTCTAGAAGACAAATCAACAAACAAAATTACCCATACTCAGCACCTCACTGAATAGAAGATACTAACAGAATAAAGTTTTACTAAAAAGATGGTCCAGCTAGTACTAGCTAAGATCAGGTCAGCATAGTTACCACAGCACAATATGTCCTGTATATATAACACTGTGGAATCTATGATGCTACTGATCATAAATATGTGCTATTGTTTTATTATCATTAAGAAAAAAACTAGGCCGGGCATGGTGGTGCATGCCTATAATCCCAGCACTCGGGAGGCTGAGGCAGGAGGATTGCTGGGAGTTTGAGGCCAGCCTGGACTACACAGTGAGTTTAAAGCTCGCCTGAACTACATAGCAAGACCCTGTGTCAAAGAAGAAAAATAAGGAAAAGAAAAATCTGCCAATTAGCCTATGGTATATTATCACTTATAATATTAATGGTAAATTTATAGAATAAAAAATTGGGAGATTAAATGAACTGAAAATGGCAGAGGGTTGATGGTTGTATCTAGGTGGCACAAATGTAAGTCCTTATACAACCTCTATAGGTATATGCTCACAATTTCCCTTTTAAGAAGTTTTAAAGTAGAGGGGTTTGAAAGTATTAAGAGCTCTTTAGACTTAGATACACATTCTTATTATATATCATTCATTATATAAGCTAAAATTGAGGTATATGGACTAGAGATTTTTGTGTTTTTTTGTTTGTTTGTTTTGGGTTTTTTTGTGGTACTGGGGATCAAACTCAGGACCTTGCGCTCGCCAGGCCAGTGCTTGTAACACTGAGCTATATCTCTAGCCCCTGTTTTATTTTTAATTGATATATATATTTTTTTTTTTGGTCTTTTTGAGACAGAGTATCACTATGTAGTTCAGGCTGGCCTTGAACTCACTTTGTAGCCCAGACTGGTCTTGAACTTACGTGATCCTCCTGCCTCAGCCTCTTGAGTGTTAGGATCACAGGCATGTAATAACATCCCCAACCTAATTAATGTCCTTTATTAATGATTACTCCTCTTCTGGTTTGTTGAAGCAGTAAGTCAGACAACACTTTGCACAATAATGGCTGTCAAAGTGGCTGGCCATAAAAACTCCAGTATCACAGTCATCTGAAGGGTTCTCAAGTGAAGGCAAATTTGCCATTTTATCCACCATGTAGTATTTTAAGACAGCCAACTTAACCTTACCTGTTTTTGGTAGGGGGGACCGGGAATTGAACTCAGGGCCTTGCACGTGCCAGGCAGGTGCTGTGCCACTGAGTTACATCCCTGGCCCTGCCTTCTTTATCTTATGCTTACTCTTCTTGGGACTGGTACAAACCTTCCTTTTCTTAGCCCCACTACAATGTCGCAACACAAGATCAGTGGTAAATTCCTTCCAAATGTTGTAGTCTGAAAGTATGTCCATCTTCCAGTTGCTTACCAGCAGGTCAGTCTTTGCTAATAGGAGGTATTCTTTCCCTACCCTGGAGCTGGGCCTTGACATTCTCTATAGTACCCAGGGCTTCCCTGTGAGGGTTTTTACGAAAATCTGCATGTTGGCAACAGTTCTACTGCAGATGGCAGGTTGGAAAGTGGAAAGAGGATTTTTAAAATTGCACATAACGGTTCAACTCCTTGGAAACATTTCTGCACCATTACTGATATCCGAGTTTTCCATAATGCATTGTCCACTATATCACCAAACACCGAAATCACACGACATTTCTTACACAGTCTTCCATTTTACTATTTTCTTTATAATTTTCTTCCTCGTCACTAACTTCCATTCTGCAAATTTGTTTCGTTTTACAGTTCTGGGAATCAAATCGAGGGCTTCACACATGCTAGGTAAGCACTCTATAATTTAGCTATATTCTCAACCTCACAAGTTTCCTGCTTTTTCTTTTCTTTCTTTTTTCTTTTGGTACTGGACACAGACCCTAGAGCCTTGAGTATGCCAGGCAAGTGCTCAGCACTCAGCTACATTCCTGGTCCCTTTTCTTTTTCTTTTGAGACACTCTGTACTATGTGATGCACACTGACCCCAAATTTGTGATCCTCTTGCCTCAGCCTCCCAAGTAGCTGGATTACAGGTGAGCACCACCACACCCAGGTCAAAGTTTTTTAATGTGAGAAAAATTCTGTGTATCTTGGGAATGATAAAAAGTAGTAATCTGTTATAACTGCCAAACTCCTAAACATATAATAATATGAAAAACTAAGAAGTGTTATTCTTTAGATTGGTCTCCATGGCAATGATGCAACTATTAAGATCAGTCATACTCTTAACCAGTCCCTCTTGTGACCAGTAGATGGTAACAAAGTACAAAATAGGTAGCTGGTGTTGCAAATGTGACCCAACAGTGAAGACTGCCCAGCAGGTAGACGTTCAATGAATATTCTCTGAGTGAATCAACAGAGGCTAGGACAAATCCTGACAGAACTACATCAGTGTTAAATTTTCTGAGTGTGATCACTGCACTGTGGTCATGTAAGAGACTGACATTTTTCTTTGGAGATACACGCTGAGGTATTTGGGTGAAGTGTCATGATGTCTATGATTAATATTCAAATGTTCCAGAAAAACCATTTTCACATGTGTAGAGAAAACAGAAGTAAACATGATCAAAATACAAACTGCTGGTCAATCTGGAAAAAGCGTATGAATGTGCAATGCAGTCTAAGAACTTTTGCCAATTTTTCAAAAGGGGGCCAGGTAGGGTGGTGCGCACCTATAATACTAGCACTCTGTATATTGGGAAGGTTGTAAATTAGAGCCCAATTTTGACAACTTAGTGAAATCTTGTATAAAAATAAGTAAAATTAAAAGG